TCACTACAAGAATAAAGTTGTAACATTACGAGAATAAAGTCGTCTCACTACAAGAATAAAGTTGTAACATTACGAGAATAAAGTCGTCTCACTACAAGAATAAAGTTGTAACATTACGAGAATAAAGTCGTCACACTACAAGAATAAAGTTGTAACATTACAAGAATAAAGTTGTAACATTACGAGAATAAAGTTGTAACATTACGAGAATAAAGTTGTAACATTACGAGAATAAAGTCGTCACACTACGAGAATAGAGTCATAATAATACGAGAATAAAGTCATTATAGAACAGCAGATGACGTCCAACCAGCTCCACCAATCAGCAGCCAGAGTCCACTTTGACCTCCTGCCCAGTTTGATGCTGCTGCTAAAAGATTTCCTGATTTATCAAACCGATGCTAAAGTAGAACTTCACATGATGCTCCACATTCCTCATTTTAGGGAAGACAGGGATTCTTGTAGGAGTCGTCATAAAATAAAACTTGTGTCTCTTAATATTACGACTTTATTCTCGTAATGTTGTGAAGTTATTCTCGTAATTTTACGAATTTATTCTCGTAATATGAAGACTTTTATCTCGAAATAGAATTTTAAAAAATCTCTAGGCTTGCCCTACTCTGAAAAAATGAATGTAACAGTTTTTGGGGTTTACTTAATCATATTTAGTACTTTAACACAATTGTTTATGTCCTACCCTGCGAACATGAAACAATTGTGTTAAAGTAAGTAAATCTGATTAAGTAAATGCCAAAAACTTTTACATTCATTTTTTCAGTATAATACTCAGCCCATCATGGCATTCAGGGTTTAAATAAAACGTGTCCAGGTCTGTTTGCAGGGCACAGCCATTTATATGATAAATTGTCCTGCCATACAGCAGGCTCGGCCCCTTCCCGTGGCTCTCCAGCTAAAATCCTGCGTGGGGAGTCGGAGCAGAGAGTTGTTCGGAGGACTCGGAGCGGCATGGCCTCCTCTCGGAGTTTCTTCTCCTTTATCTGCGTGTTTTTCCTGCTTTTCTGCGCCTCCTCTGGATCCGGGACTTTAAACAGCAGAAGATCAAACCAGGAGCGATGCGGCTACAAGGTAAAAACCAAAGCAGCGCGCGCCTTTCCGCTCCTGACTGACGCTCATTTTAGAGTCCAGGTGTTCTGCGCGTCTCTACCTGAGCGGCTCTACTGCTTTCATCTTTTCTCAAATTATTCTTAAAATATAACAATTTGCTCAACTTTTAATCCCATTTCTCCAGCATTCAACTTAAAGATTTTGTATTCTAAGGTAAAAAACAGCTCTAATTTAAACCACATGATGCGTCTTTATTACCCCCCCCCCCTCCCCCAGCAGAATTAAGTATATTTACATATGATCATAGAAAAAAAGCATGAAATGCTTTAAAAAGTCTAGCTCTATAAGTAAGTAATAAAAGGGGAAATATATATATGTATATATATATATATATATATGATTAAGTAAATGCCAAAAAAATATATATATATATTTTTTTTAAGTTGCTTTCAGGACCTTTGATCAGATTCTTTCTTGTTTGATCTTCTTTTATAAACATAATTACTCAGATTAATTTAATGTTCAAACTCCTGTTCTGCTTTCATGCATCATTAGAATAAATATCTAGACCCCAAACTTTAAACCTGAATAAAAATAAACAAGTTAAAATAATACGGTTAGATTAGTGATGAAAATAGAATAGTCTCTATTATGTCAACATATAAACTGACTTAAAATGCAGAATCTTCAAATCAAATCGATTTTTCATCCGTTTTATGAAAATCAGATATATATTTTTTTAGCTCTTCCACATAAAATACAGCTGTTTATTATTTTAATTTGGTTTTATTCTGTTTTTGATTCTACATTTCCTGCTCCAGCAGCTTTTCAGTGGAGCTCAGGTCCTTTTTTTACTTTTTGGTCGTTTCCTTACTGACTGTTTCAGGTGTGAAATGCAGCCTTCTGGTCTGACTGTTTCTGTAATAACTGTCAGCTTTTGGTTTCTAGTTATTTCACATAAGAAACACGGTTTTATGACTTGGGTATATAAACATGTATCTGTATCTTTTTACGGGGAAATAATCTGCTTTTTGTTAAATGAGTCAAATGGCAAAATGTAGGTAAGAACCAGTATAATTTGAAACAAAGTGTTAACTTTTATTAAACTGATATTTCAATTAATTGAGGTTTTTAAGACGATGTGTCTCTGGGATTCATGAAGATATTTCCAGTAATGAGGGATAAACTGGAAGCACTGGAATAAATCAGCTGGTTTCAAACTGGAGCCATTTGTGGAAGTTGATCTTTTCAGTGATCAGGTATATGGAGCTAAATTAGGGCCACAAATCTTTCTGAAATAAAATCATTTGAAACTGCAGAAAAAAAAGGAAAAAAAATAACGGGACAAAAAAAGGATTTAAAAGTGAACAAAATACATTTTTTTAAACAAGCAGCTGCCCCCTCGGTGGGGGGGTGGATGATGTGGGGTGTGAAGTGATGACTGTCAGCTTAAGCTGCTAATTTAAATACTCCCAGCTTTTGCATTCAGGAACAATGGGAACTAAAAATGTCTTTAAATATAGCCAAACTATGTTTATATGATTGTTTAAAAAAAAATAAAACCGTGTCATTTAAACTCCGCCTCCCACACTGAGGGGCAAACAGAACTAGAAAAACAGAAAAGAACCACACTTGAATCTAAATAGCATTTTAAACATTATTTTTAAGTTTCAAATCTTATTTTATTTTCAGCTTCAGAAAATATTTCTAGTTTCAGATCTTTAATTTTATAATTCTAATTTTTTTTTTTTCAGTTTCTAAATAATTTCCTGTTTAAAATGAATGTCTTCTAACAAACTTTCTGGCCCCAGTTTGGCTCCATATGACTGCAGCTCTTCTTAAGGAGGAGTCTACAGCCTGATCGTCTCCAACCCAACACTGTCTTCATTTAAACAGATTTTAAACCATTTTTCAGTGGATTTCTTTCATGATTAGATGAGATTCATTGGGATTTCTGGGACGTTTGTCAGATTTGGAGTTTTTTTTTATGTATAAGAAGATGTGTTTGAGAAAGCTGTCCTATGCTTTGCCACCCTGTGCTGCAGGCGCCATCGAATCATTCTCCTCAAACAAGCAATCCAGCTAAAAACATCCAGATGTGAATCCCAAAAAAGTTAAAAAACAATCCACTGGACTTTGTTTCCAAGTTTGAAGACGTTTCTCCTCCCATCCAGGACACTTTTTCAATTTAAAATGTCAGGAATAGAGCTGAGTTCCAGGTTTATAGGAATAGCCTCAAACTCAACGCTATTTCTGACTTTTTTAAAAAGTTCCCTAGATGGAAGAGAAACGTCTTTAAACTTGGAAACAAAGTCCAGTGGATTGTTTTTTAAACTGTTTTGGAATGACTATGACCTGGATGACTGAGAATCTTCACCAGCATCCAGATGTGAAGTCTTCTTCCTGTCTTCCTGTGTTGGTAAAGAGGAGCAGCAGCTCTGCGGAGGCTCATGATCACAGATCCAGTCCTGAATAATCAGGCGGCTGCATTGAGAGCCAGGGTCTGTTGTGTCTGATGGTCTGTGGGACTGTGTGCGTCTGGATGCAGCCGTTTCAGTTTTCTCCTGTTGATAGATGATTCCTACCTGCCTTTGATGTGTGTTGGTGTGTGCGTTATCCTGGTTTCCTCTCCGGGGCTTTGAAGTGTTTTCTACAGGAAGCTTCACACTGTTTACTCTGCTGAAACATTCCTTCTTGCAACCCCACCCCCAAACACACACACACAACCCCCCACCCCCCGCCACACACACACACACACACACACACAGTCTGTGGCTTCCTGTCCTTTCAGATCAAAGTGTGCAGGATGGGGGTGTGAGGGCCGGCCCTGCTGCAGGTGTGAGCTTATTACAGCCTCTGTGTGGTAATTTCATGTTTGAAAGGAGTCCTACTTTGGTCTGTGCCGTTATTTCCTGTCTGATCAGACGGGAGAGGCTTTAGCTCTAAGGGACTCTTCTCAGAAAACTTTTTAGCTGCATTAAGCTGATTTTACGTTAAAGAAAAGGATGCAAATTCATTGCTTTTAAGAAATACATTTTTGCTTACTTAGAAAAATATAGCGGCAGATGGAAGCTCACACTGAGCCTGGTTCTGCTGGAGGTTTCTTCCTGTTCAAAGGGAGTTTTTCCTCTCTACTGTCGCTACAAGCATGCTTAGTGTGAGGGATTGCTGAAGAGTCAATGAGTCGATGCAATCAGCTGGTTTTCCTTAGATAGAAAACTTTGAATCAATGTGACTGGATGATCTGGTGAACTGTAAAGTGACCTGGGATGACATGATGTGAATTGGAGCTATAGATCGAATGCATTGAATCATTACTGGGGTTTTTTTTAAATCAAGAAAATTAGACATTAAGTTGTGTCTAAAGTGGGATTTTTATGATTTAAAGGAACTGTAGTTTATTTTAAGTGCAAGATGAACTGTTGAAAAGTCCGGGGGGGTGGGGGTGAGGACGGGGTGAGAAAACCTGCTTGTAAACCAAATGGGGGCCAAACAGGAAACCAGCACTATAGATGCGTTTAGTGAGCAGTTAAAAACATTTAATCTTCACCGTTTATCTCATCTTTTATCGCATCCATAACGGGAAACCAAAAAACTTCTGGTAATTTGAGTTTTCCCTTTTTGTTAATAAATAACAAAAAGGAATTTGGTTGAATTCATCACTGCAACCTTTTTAATCCGCCTTTACAGACTTCCTGTTTTTAACTAAATATTTAATCACATCTTCCTTGAGATGAAGGATAAACGCTGGGCTGTTAACAGACTCCAAATCTTATTTAGCTTATTATTTATATTCTAGTTGAAAATCTAGAATAGAGTCTAAATTAAAGAACAGTTGAAACTGATTCATTCTGGGTTGTTTTTATCTCAACAGTTTTTCTCTTTGTTTTATCAGTTAAACTAACTGAGATATCATCAGTTATTCAGAATGAATGTAATCTTCCAGTTTTAGGACTCTTCTGTGTTTTTTCCTGAGTCTTTATGGACATCAGGAACACCGGCGGTTTCTCTTTTGTTTCCTGCTGCCTTCTTGAACTCAGGCAGGCGCAGCATGAACCGGTTCTCCACCTGCTGCTGGTTCTGGTTGAAGTGGCTGTTTTCCCGTTGAGCAGAACACAATGAACGTCGCTCCCAGCTGTGGTCTGACAAAAAGGAGCTCAGTCCCACCAGAGAACAAGAGACCCGCTGGGCAGTTGGCTGTTCTGTGAAAGCTCTGAGCTGCACCAGGGCCACGCAGCTCCTTAGGCAACTTTTCAAAATAAAACACATTTCTATATTAATCTATTCTTTTTCTATCAGAGGAATTAATTGACTGATTCCCTCTTTCTAAACCATTTACATTTTTTTTTGTTAATTATCTCTGAAACTCAAGTTTTTATTTAAATGATTTTCATCTTTGTACAAACCCCTGCAGAAACCTACGCTAACATATGGTTGCTCCGCCCACTTTTAACCTCTTAGCGTTCATAAGAATACAAATAAAAACCTCAAATGAAACTCTGTTAAATGTTCCTTTGCAAGTTGCACCTCATCAGATGATCTGTGGAGTCTCTTACTTTTCATTTAATATGTCATTTCTCTTCTCAGTCTTCTTCTTTGATCCAGTTTTCAAACCCTTTCTGAGATTCGGTCCAAAAGGAAACTGTAAGCGTTCTCCTCCCAGAGAATAACCACCGCTAACTTTAGTTCAATCTGAAAAACTCACATAAAGAAAAAAGACAATTAGAAGAAATTTATTGATATAATAACTTTGTCTTTGGCGCTCAGACCTCGGCAGGAAACATTAGCGTTTAATTTAGATAGATATGCATGAACAGGAGTAAAGAACAGGGCTGTTTCCCCCACAGGCCTGAACCTGGTGGTGGAGTGGAGATAGATGGAGTTGGTCAGTCTGTAGACTGCTGGTTGGAGAGACGGTCTGCTGAGCTTTATGGGGAGATCCAGTGGACTGCATGAGCTGATACTAGAGCTTCACTCAGGGACCTGGAAGATGGAAGTCCAGCTTGGATAACACAGGTTGA